TTAAACATGTCCCCTCCTTAAATTATTAAGTTTTAATCAATAATTCATATGAAATCATATTAGAGGTATTAAAAATATTATAATTTTAATAATTTGTATAAGATGAATCTATATACTTAAAGTGGACTTAAACTTTCGTTAGATACACCTATTTTTTCCATGAGGACTTAAGATAGCTAGTTGAACTGGAAATATGATAAAGAAGAAATTGCTTAAAGAAACATGGAAACTCTGAAACGACCCTTAAAAGGTCGTAAACATAAAAGATTCACAGTTAAACCCTATTATGTTAGTTTAGTTTTCTTGTGGCGTATATTCAGTGGGGATTAAACATGTCCCTTCCTTAAATTAATATAATTTTAATAAATCGTAATAATATATTTAGAGGTATTAAATGATTAATAATTTATATTGTATAAATGAATCCTATAACGTAAAGTGACCTAAACTCGTTAGTCACTATTCCATAGGCTTAATGACTAGTTACTTGGAAATGGCGATAAAAGAAAAAATTGCTTAAAGTAAACGGGAAACTCTGAAAACGACCGCTTAAAAAGTTCCTAAACATTAAAAGACCACAGTTAAAGCCACCTATATGTTAGTTGTTTTCTTGTGGTCGTTATTCAGTGGGATTACAGACATGTCCCCGTTTTAAAATTATTAAGTTTTAATCAATAATTCATATGAAATCATATTAGAGGTATTAAAAATATTATAACTTTAATAATTTGTATAAGATGAATCTATATACTTAAAGTGGACTTAAACTTTCGTTAGATGTACCTATTTTTTCCATGAGGACTTAAGATAGCTAGTTGAACTGGAAATGCGATAAAGAAAAAATTGTTTAAAGAAACACGAAATCTCTGAAACCACTCTTAAAAAGTCGTAAACATAAAAAATTCAAAGTTTAACCCTATTAGTTTAGTTTTCTTGTCATTGGCGTATATTCAGTAGGGGGATTAAACATGTCCCCTTTTTGCCTATATATTTTTAAGATAAAAATTATACAATTTTGATATATTTTTATTTCTTTATTTTAATAATAATATTAACTAATTCTTTTGATCATGAAACGTTATAAGTATTATATTAGCTCAAACAATAGACGGTTGTAATACAAAGGACCTCTCTGATAAGGCCGTCCCATACTTATCTCTAATCCTTTAACTGTTATTATAATTAATTTAATGTACTCTAAAAAATTTAATTAAAAATATTTGTTAGTACAACTCTGTAGCCCTTGCAGCAATGGGTATAATATCGTAATACACGGTAGCGGACCAAAAGAATATTTATTAGTAATATAACAATACTCTTAACTATTACCATACATATAAAAAATTAGATTAAATTATTTAAAAAAAAGCGGTGGAAAGAAAAAAGACAATTGTTTCGATGGTCGGTGGGTGCTCGGATGGCGCTACTATGGATGATATACGATGGATATGTATATTATGCTTAAACTCGCTTAAGTATATAGTTGACAATTGTCTCGATAGTTGGTGGGTGCTCGAATGCCGCTACTATGGATGATATACGCTGGAAATGTATATTTAATGTAGAATTAAAACTGCTTAAGAATATACTTGAGGCTTAATTGTTATTTAAAAGAGGCGGTGAAAAGAAAAAAGACAATTGTTTCGATGGTCGGTGGGTGCTCGGATGGCGTTACTATGGATGATATACACTGGAAATGTATATTTAATGTAGAATAAAAAGTGTTTAAGTATAAAGTTGAGGCTTAATTATTATTTAAAAGAAGCGGTGAAAAGAAAAAAGACAATTGTCTCGATGATCGATGGGTGCTCGGATGGCGCTACTATGGATGATATACACTGGAAATGTATATTTAATGTAGAATAAAAAGTGTTTAAGTATAAAGTTGAGGCTTAATT